TTGTGGTTCCATATGAATTTTTGAACTATTTGTTCCAGTTCACTGAAGAATTCTGTTGGTGTTTTGATAGGGATTTCATTGAATCTGTAGACTGCTTTAGGCAGAATGGGCATTTTGACAATATTAATTCTTCCTTGCCAAGAGCATGGGATGAATTCCCTCTTTAATTTCTCTTAAGAGTGCCTTGTAGTTTTCAGGGCAAAGGTCTTTCACTTCCTTTCCTCTAGTTTAATGAATAATACTATTGATACTTTGATGGGGATTGCATTGAATCTGTATACTGCTTTGGACAGGATGGCCATTTGGACAATATTAATTCTTCCTATCCATGAGCATGGGATGTGTTTCCATTTATTGCTATCTTGTTTAATTTCTCTCATGAGTTTCTTGTAGTTTTCAGAGTACAAGACTTTCACTTCCTTGGTTAGGTTTATTCCTAGGTATTTAATTCTTTTTGATGCAATTGTGAATGGAATTGTTTTCCTGATTTCTCTTTCTGCTAGTTCATTATTAGTGTATAGGAATGCAACAGATTTCTGTGGATTAATTTGGTATCCTGCAACTTTAATGAATTCAGATATTAGTTCTAGTAGTTTTGGAGTGGAGTCTTTAAGGTTTTTATGTACAATATCATGTCATCTGCAAACAGGGACAGTTTGACTTCTTCCTTACCTATCTGGATGCCTTTTATTTCTTTGTGTTGTCTGATTGCTGTGGCTAGGACCTCTGGAACTATGTTGAATAAAAGTGGGGAGAGTGTGCATCCTTGTCTTGTTCCCGATCTTAAAGGAAAAGCTTTCTGCTTCTTGCTGTTAAGTATAATGTTGGCTGTGTGTTTGTGATACATGGCCTTTATTGTCTTGAGGTACTTGCCCTCTATACCCATTTTGTTGAAAGTTTTTATCATGAATGGATGTTGAACTTTGTCGAATGCTTTTTCTGCATCTATGGAGATGATCATGTGGTTTTTGTCCTGCCATGATGTTGATGGATTTTCGAATGTTGTACCATACTTGTATCCCTAGGATGAATCCCACTTGATCATGATGGATGATCTTTCTGATGTATTTTTGAATTCGGTTTGCTAATATTTTGTTGAGTATTTTTGCATCTATAGTCATCAGGGATATTGGTCTGTAATAATTCTTTGTTGGTGGTGTCTTTGCCCGGTTTTGGTATTAGAGTGATGTTGGCCTCATAGAATGAGTTTGGGAATATTCCCTCCTCTTCTACTTTTTGGAAAACATTAAAGAGGATGGGTATTAGGTCTTTACTAAATGTTTGATAAAATTCAGCAGTGAAACCGTCTGGTTCAGGCGTTTTTTTCTTAGGCATTTTTTTGATTACCAATTCAATTTCCTTGCTGGTAATTGGCCTATTCAGATTTTCTGTTTCTCCTTGGGTCAGCCTTGGAAAGTTGTGTTTTTCTAGAAAGTTGTCCATTTCTTCTAGGTTATCCAGTTTTTTAGCATATAATTTTTCATAGTATTCTCTCATAATTCTTTGTATTTCTGTGGTAACCATTGTGAATTTTCCTTTCTCATTTCTGGTTCTGTTTATGTGTATAGACTCTTTTTATTCTTTATAAATCTGGCTAGGGGTTTATCTATTTTGTTTATTTTCTCAAAGAACCAGCTCCTGCTCTCATTGATTCTTTCTATTGTTTTATTCTTCTCAATTTTATTTCTTCTCTAATCTTTATTATGTCCCTCCTTCTACTAACGTTGGGACTCATTTGTTCTTCCTTTTCTAGTTTCATTAATTGTGAGTTTAGACTGTTCATCTGAGATTGTTCTTCTTTCCTGAGGTAGGCCTATATTGCAATATACTTCCCTCTTAACACAGCCTTCACTGCATCCCACAGATTTTCCGGTGTTGAATTATTGTTGTCATATGTCTCCATATATTGCTTGATCTGTGTTTTTATTTGGCCATTGATCCACTGGTTATTTAGGAGCATGTTTTTAAGCCTCCATGTGTTTGTGGTTTTTTTCATTTTCTTTGTGTAATTTATTTCTAGTGTCATACCTTTGTGATCTGACAAGCTGCTTGGTATAATTTCAATATTTTTGAATTTACTGAGGTTCTTTTTGTGTCCTAGTATATGATCTATTCCTGAAAATGTTCTATGTTTACTTAGGAAGACTGTGTATCCTGTTGCTTTTGGATGGACTGTTCTGTGGATGTCCGTTAGGTCCATCTGTTCTAAAACATTGTTCAGTGCCTCTGTCTCTTTATATTTTGTCTGGTTGATCTGTCCTTTGGAGTGAGTGGTGTGTAGAAGTCTCCCAAAATGAATGCATTGCATTCTGTTTCCCCCTTTAATTCTGGTAGTATTTGTTTCACATATGTAGGTGATCCTGTGTTGGTGCATAGATATTTTTAATAGTTTTATCCTCTTGTTGGACTCCCTTTTGTCATTATGCAATGTCTTTCTTTGTCTCTTGTTACTTTCTTCATTTTGAAGTCTATTTTGTCTGATACAAGTACTGCAACTCCTGTTTTTTTCTCCCTATTAGTTACATGAAATATCTTTTTCCATCCCTTTACTTTCGGTCTATGTATGTCTTAGGGTTGAAGTGAGTCTCTTGTAGGCAGCATATAGATGGGTCTTGTTTTTTTTATCCATTCAGTGACTCTACATCTTTTGAATGGTGCATTCAGTTCATTTACATTTAGGGTGATTATCAAAAGGTATGTACTTTTTGCCATTGCAGGCTTTAGATTCATTGTTACCAAAGGTTCAAGGGTAATTTCCTTACTATCTAACAGTCTAATTTACCTCACTTCTTGTGCTATTACAAACACAATCTAAACATTCTTTCCTTTTTTTCCTTCTTTTTATTCCTCCTCCATTCTTTGTATGTTATGAATCATATTCTATACTCTTTGTCTATGCCTTGGGTGACATCTATTTTGCCTTAGGAATACTTTCATCTATAGGAGTCCCTCCAAAATCCACTGTAGAGGTGGTTTGTGGGAGGTAACTTCTCTCAGGTTTTGCTTATCTGAAAACTGTTTAATCCCTCCTTCAAATTTAAATGATAACCTTGCCAGGTAGAGTATTCTTGGTTCGAGGCCCTTCTGCTTCATTGCATTAAATATGCCATGCCATTCCTTTCTGGTCTGTAAGGTATCTGTTGAGAAATCTGATGATGGCCTGATGGGTTTTCCTTTGTATGTGATCTTCTTTCTCTCTCTAGCTGCTTTTAAAAGTTTGTCTTTATCCTTGATTGTTGCCATTTTAATTATATGTCTTGATGTTGTCTTCCTTGGGTCACTTGTGTTGGGAGATCTGTGCACCTCAATAGCTTGAGAGACTATCTCCTTCCCCAGATTGGGGACGTTTTCAGCAATTACCTCCTCAGTGACACTTTCTATCCCTTTTTCTCTCTCTTCTTCTTCAGGTACCCCTATTATGTGAATATTGTTTCATTTGGATGGGTCACACAGTTCTCTCAATATTCTTTCATTCTTAAGAGATCGTTTTTTCTCTCTCTGCCTCAGCTTCTTTGTATTCCTCTTCTCTAATTTCTAGTCCATATACTGTATCTTCTGCTACATCTTATCTGCTTTTAAACCCCTCCATTGTAGATTTCATTTCAGATATGGAATTTCTTAATGATTGAGTCTCCAACTTAAATTCATTCCTGAGTTCTGGAATATTTTTTTGTACCTCCATAAGCATGTTTATGATTTTTATTTTGAACTCTCTTTCAGGAAGATTGGTGAGTTCCGTTTCATTTGGCCCTTTTTCTGGGGTTTGTGAGATCTTTATCAGAACCATGCTCTTTTGACATTTCATATTTCTGTGTGTTGCCCTCTAGTGCCCAGAAGCTCCAGTTTCTGGAGCTGCTCAGCCCCTAGATTGAGGTTGGGGGTCATAGGGGAGTGGAGCTGGTTCCTGGGGGGAAGAAAGATCTGTTTCCTGATTCCTTGCTGCAGTGCCTGTCTCCAGTATCAGAGCCAGTGGGCCGAGCACAGAGGTGTAAGCCTCTGTGCTTTGCATCTCTAGCTGTTGTAGGTGGGGCCTCCCTCTGACTGGCCTGACACCAGCACAGTGACTATCGCTTTGTGAGCTGGTGCTGTCAGGCCGGGAGGAAGGCTCATCAGGCTATGTGTCACAGTGGGGGGCCTCGGAGCTGAGTAGCCAGCCAGGAGGATGGAGCACCTGAAGCTCCTCAAAGGTCCCAATCTGCTGGGCAGAGCGCTCCCAGACAACATTGTTCCCTATCCCGTCTCTCATGCAGCAAGCTCCATGCAAACCCCACCCCTTCAGCAGCTGTCTCACTGCTAGGAAGTCTCTCAGACCGCCTGCCTTTCCCTTGTCCCAGTGTGGCCAGGTGTAGATCCTGTCCTCCACAAATGGCTGGAATCTCAGTCTCTTAAGCACTCCACCTCTCCCAGCTCCCCATCCTCCAGAGCACCACACAATGTAGGTTTCTGCTCACAAAGCAGATCTCCAGGGCTAGGTGTTCAGCAGACCTAGGCTTCCACCCCCTCCCTGCTCTGTTTCTCTTCCTCCTGTCAATGAGCTGGGGTGGTGGAAGGGCCTGCATCCTGCAAGATCAAGACTTTGGTACATTGCCCTGTTTCATGAGGTCTGCTCTGTTCATGAGTTCTGTATGCAGTTTGATGCAGACCTCTTTCCTGTTGCTGTTTTAGGGTTAGTTGTATTAACTATATTTTCACACTGTCTGTGGTTTTGGGAGGATTTCTCTGTCTCACCTCTCACACCACCATCTTGAATCTCCAACTCTTCTCACAGTATCTTATCTATAACATTCTTGTACTACTTAGTGTATTCCATTTGTATTATACTTACCTGCCTGCATGTTTTATCTTGCGTCCTAGATCATAAGCTCCCTGAGGGTGGGAATCATGGCTTAATCAACTCTGTAAACCCAATAAAGTTTTACCATATCTGGCATCTGGTGACGTTGAATGAATAATTGGTAAAGAGAAGGGCAGCTCCTTAAGGTAGCAGTGGTAAGACTTACTTGCACCTCCACCATCCAGTCCACAAGAATGGCCCTCATGTCACTGCTGATGTCAATCTGCCTGTTCATATATTTTTTAAGTATGAACTTTTCCTGGCATCAAGAAGAAAGAATTGTTAATTAAAAAACTCTCCTTGTAGTTCAAAAATTATAAAGGGAAAAAACATTTGTAACTAATTTCAGAAAACAAGTTTTAACATAATTAACTTCTTCATGGTTCTAACTCCATTTTTGGCTTGTATCAAATAAAAGCAGAGCCAAGTATCCTTTTCCAGACAATTTTAGTTACACTTAGGAAACAGACACATATGATATTCAAGTGTCAAGGAGGATACTGAGGAATCCAGGGGGAATATAGAATATGGGGAGGAACACACTTAAGAGTATAGATGAATACCAAAGAGGTTCTGCCCCTTCTTTGCAATTCAATCTAAAGTACAATACCTTACCATGTAGAGCAATGCTTCTCAGACTTGAACATGCAAATGAACCACTCTGGGATCTTTCAAATTCACATTCTAATTTAGAAGTTCTGGGTGGAGGCTAGGTTTCTGCATTTCTAACAAGATCCCAAGTGAAACTAATACTGTTGAGCTAAAGCCCACACTTTTAGTATAACAATGTTATCTCTTCCTCCAAGGTATACTAGAAAAAGTGTCAGCTCTGGAGTCAGTTAATCAAACGCTATATCTCTAGAGAGAAACAATCTATTCATACTCCCTTTTATGTATCGCCTGCTAAAATTATAGTTGATAGATTACCTTGGTCCCATTGGTTCCACTGAAAGAGGCAGAAGAAAATTTGGAATCAATGAATGTTACTGGTAAAGGAGACTACATATTTCAAAGGTAAAAGAAAATTTCACCCTGTTGGAGAGCTGAATAAAAAGGTGTTATTTTACATATGATGCCAGAAATTTGCATAGAGAAGGGAAAAGACCTCTAAGAACAGCCACACAGAAAGAGACTACTTGACCATTTTTGTGTCTGAGATTGTCTCCGCAGCAATTAGAGGTGCAGGCTTATTGTCTTCAAAGTAATTGGACTTTACTCTATAATCCAGCTCTACCACATAGTAGTTGTGTGCCTGAGCAGTTTTTCCCATATATAAAAAGGAGATTATAATACTTACCATCATGAGGTTATTGGGAAAATTAAACAATGTTTATAAATCCCTTAGCACAATGTTTAACTCATAGTAAGCTACCAGTAGATGTCAGTTGTTGCTATTATTATTTGCATCATCATTATTACCACCCCTTTTAACTTACATTTGAAGGATTGAATGAAAAGAGAATGAGAACTAGAAATAATGTTCCTCCATCCTGCCACCTACACACCTCTCTCTCTTTCATGTAACTGAAGATATCCTTGGCATATATTGAGTTGAAAACTGGATCACTGTGGTCCTTGTCAATATCCTCCAATGGGGTCATCTGCTTGGAAATCACCAAAAAGACATATTAGGAGGAGAAAGATCCCAAGGAAGGCTTAGCACATACACATAAAGGATGACTCCTTTCTTCCCACTATCATCTTCTGCTATGGTTCCTCAAGCTTCATATATCTTGAGTCATAATAGAGCATCCCTTGGCCCTACAATACTCAAACTGCTGAACGATCAAAAAATGCTTAGTCTTCCTTGTACACAACTGTTCTGCCCTAGGAACCAGGTAACATTTTTACAGGCAGGCTCAAGACTTTCCAAGAAAAACACTCTTATTTTATTATTTCAGCTTGTTACCTGTCTTCTTAGGTCCCTTGCTATGTTCCAATGCTTTGATCTGGCCCAATTCATCTTTCTGATAGCCTTTTCCTCCTTTCTACATCTTTACCTAGGTTATTTTGCATACAAGAGGAATATTTCTCCTCCTGCTTGACAAATCTCATCCCTCCATCCTTCCAAATTATAACTTCCAATTCAGAAGGTGCCTCTGTGAAATTTATCCATCTTTGACTGAAGCCTGCCATAATGCAGATAGCAATTACTAACAAAATCAATTTCTGGAAAGAAATTGTCTAACCACTATTGCAAAGCCCAAATATATATACACACAGTATTCCAGACCCTTGTGGGTATTCCCAGAGTAAATATTGCAATTGCTTGGGTGTATCACTATCACAATCAAGAAGTCAAGAGACTGTATGAGATCAACTTTTTTTTACTATAGCTTACTATATACTATATAGCTATATATAGCTTCCTAAGCTCAATTGCTTAGGAAGGTAAAATATAATCTCTTTGCTAGCAACCACTTCTAGAATAACAAAAAAATTTCATCTAATAAAAAAAAAGAGAGAGAGCAGAATACCTCCTTCTGTGATCTTTTGCCCTGAGATGAAAAAGATTTATTGGAACTAAATTCACAAGCACTGGACTTGCTTGTAGTACTGAACACGCCCACACTGGACATGGTAGCAGCGATAGACATGCCTGTTCCAGATTCAGGGGCACTGCTGGACATACGTGCACTGGTCTCAACTTGGGTGATAAAGAAGTCTTTGAGAAGGGTGTCTTTGTAAGTGGCATCCTCTTGCAAGGCCAATGATTTCCCGAAGGACATCTCATTCCCACTGGTAGGTTTCTCATTCAAGGCAATTATCTCCTTAAAATGTAATGCCTCATTGATGGTAAGCATCTCCTGAAAGCTTAATGGCTCCTCAAAGAGGACCTCCTTCTCACTGCTGGTCTTCTCCTGCAAGGCCAAGGACTCCTTCAGGATAGTCTCATCCTCAATTGTGGCTTTCTCCTGAGAGGTCAAGAACTCCTTGAAGAATGTTTCCTTCTCAATGCTGGGCTCCCCCTGCAAGACCAAGGTCTCCCTCAGGATGGTCTCCTTTTCAATGCTGGGCTTCTCCTTCAAGGGCAGTGGCTGCTTAATAAGGGATTCCTCTTCATTGATGATATTCTCTTGCAAGGCCAGCTGCTTCTTCAATAGGAACAACTCCACCTGAGCAGTGGGCCTCTTCTTTAAAGATAGTTGCCTCTCTATGTTTGTTGCCACCTCAGCAGAGAGCTCCTTCTTCAGAACTAATGGTTTTTTAAAAAGGAAATCCTCTTCAGTGGTGCTTTTGTCTTGCAAAGGCAACAGCTTCTTCAAGGAGTCCTTTTTGGTATCAATTCTCTGCAAGGCCAAAGACTTACAGAAAAGGGATTCATCTTTGTTGATAGGTTTAACATGCAATGAAAATGGCTTCTGAAGGAGGAATTCCTCCTCAGTGGTAGGCTTCTCTTTTAAAGTCAATGGTTCCTTAATATGTGATTCTTCTTCAGTGGTGATCTTCTCCTGCAAGGCCAATGGCTTCTTTAAGAGGGGCACCTGCTGCAGAATGGTGTGCTTCTTTTTCAATACAGATGGATCCTGGAAGAGGAATTCCTCTGCAGTTGCAGGCTTTTTATTACAGGGTAACAGCTTCTTAAAGAGTGACTCCTCTTCAGAGGTGGTCTTCTCTAAAGCCAGAGGCTTCTTGGAGGGGAACAGCTTCTCCTGAGTGATTTGCTTCTTCTTTAAAGAAAATGGTGTCTTAGTAAGTACTGCCTCCTCTGTTGAAGACCCCTTCTTAAGTGACAGGAGCTCCATAAAGAAAGGATACTTACTTTTGTTAAGGATATTTTGCAAGTCCAACAGTTCTTGGGGGGTGGATTTTGTCATTTGAGCACACCTTTTCTTCTTTAATAACAGCTCCTTGGTGGAGACTCTCTGATGTATGACATCTTGTTCCATAAGAAATTTATCTTCACTTTCAATATTTTCCTGCAATGCCCGTGGCTTCTTCAAGAGGCCCACCTCTCCCTGAGTGATATGCTTCTCTTGCACTGCAGATGATTCCCTAAAGAGGGACTCCTCCTCAGTTGTAGGCTTCTTTTTAAATGTCAATGGCTTTTTAATAAGTGATCTCTCTTCAGAAATGGTCTTCAATGCTAGTGGTTTCTTCAAGCAGGACACCTTATCCTGAGTGGTATACTTCTTTTTCTTTGAAGGTAACATCTGCTCAGTGGAGGATGCCTCCCCAATAGTATGTTTCTTCTTAAAAGTCAAAGGCTCCTCAAAAAGTGACTCCTCTTCATTTGGAGTCTTCTGCAAGGCCAAGGGCTTATTCAAGGTAGTCACCTCCTCCTGAAAGGTGTGCTTCTTTTGCAAAGCAGATGGCTCGTGGAAAAGGGACTCCTCAGTGGTAGACTTTGTAAAGGACAATGGCTCCTTAATGAGTGACTTCTTTCCAGAGATGGTCTTCTGCAATACTATTGGCTTTGTTAAGTGGTACATCTTCCCCTGAATGGTACACTCCTTCATTAAAGGTAATGGCTTCTTGTTCAGGACTATCTCCTTGGTAGTATGCTTCATCCTAAGGGAAATAGGCTCTGTAAGAAATTCATCTTCATTGTCTTTATTCTCCTGCAACGCCCATGGCTTCCTCAAGGGAGCCACCTCCCTATCAATGGTGAGCTTTTCTTGTAATGCAGATGGCTCCTGAAAGAGTGACTCCTCCTTAGGCTTCTTTTCAAAGGACAATTGTGTCTCTCCAGAGGTGATCTTCTGCAATACTAATGGCTTCTTTGAGTGGGCCATCTTCCCCTGAGTAGTGCACTTCCTTAAAGATAATGGCTTCATGGTGAGGTTTGCCTCCTCAGTGGTAGGTTTCTTCTTAAAAGCCAGTGGATCCTTAAAGAGGGAATCCTCTTCAATATCAATCTTCTCCTGCAAGGCCAATGATTTCTTCAAAATGGACATCTCTTTCTCAGTGATCTGCTTCTTTTGCAGTGTAGATGCCTCCTGGAAAAGGAACTCTGCAGTGTTAGGCCTGTCCTTGAAGGACAATGGCTCCTTAATGAGTGACTTCTTTTCAGAGGTGGTTTTCTGCAGTACCAGTGGTTTATTCATAAGGGACATCTCCCTCTGAGTGGTACACTTCTGCTTTGGAGATAACAATTCCTTGGTGAGGGGAGCCTCCTCGATTTTAGGCTTCTTCCTAAAGTTCATCAGATCCATAAAGAAAGAATGCTCTTCAGCACTGATGTCCAGCTCCCCTTGATATGTGCACATCTTCTTTAAGAATAATGTCCTCTTGGTGATGGCTACATCCTCAGTTTTATGTTTCTTCCCAAAAGTTATTGGCTCTACAACAGACTTATCACTACTATCAGTCTCTTCCAGCAAGGTTAGTGGCTCCAGGAAGTTCACCTCCCCCTGATTTGTGCACTTCTTTAAAGATAATGACCTCTTGATGAGAGTTGTATGCTCAGTAGTGTGTTCCTTTTTTAAAAATAATGGTGCTTTGGAAAGAGATGCCTCCTCATTAGTGGGTGTTTTGGAAATGGTAGGTATCTCCAGAATGAGTGGTTTCTCCATGTTTAGCATCAAGGTAGCAGAGACTACTACTGGTGAGGGTTCCAGCTTACACCTGAAAAGGAAATAATGTATGGGTAAGAATTTAGTTCCTAGAATCCTAACATACTATCTCATTTTGTTGCTATATTTTCAAAAGGTGTGGAAGGAAAAAGGGTTTCAATCCCAAGAGACAGATTAAAAGTAAATATCCTATGCCATTATAGTGAGTCAACTAAGTAGCATGCTGTATAGTTTCTCTGGCCTAGGTTCCCACATTTTTCTAAAAACTTTCCCCTGAAATCCATATTATGCTTTCTCATATATAATTTTTATTCCATTTTTTTATTTTGGTATCATTAATCTACAATTACATGAAGAACATTATGTTTACTAGGCTCTCCCCTACCACAAGTCCCCCCAATAAACCCCATTACAGTCATTATCCATCAGCATAGTAAGATATTGTAGAATCACTACTTGTCTTCTCTGTGTTGCACAGCCCTCCCCTTTCCCCCACCCCCCACATTATACATGCTAATCATAATACCCCCTTTTTTCTTCCCTGCCCTTATCCCTCCCTACCCCTCCCATTCTCCCCAGTCTCTTTCCCATTGGTGACTGAGTCCATTCTTGGGTTCTGTGATTCTGCTGCTGTTTTGTTCCTTCAGTTTTCCTTTGTACTTATACACCACAGATAAGTGAAATCATTTGGTACTTCTCTTTCTCCACTTGGCTTATTTCACTGAGCATAATACCCTCTAGCTCCATCCATGTTGTTGCAAATGGTAGGATTTGTTTTCTTCTTATAGCTGAATAATATTCCATTGTGTATATGTACCACATCTTCTTTATCCATTCATCTACTGACGGACACTAAGGTTGCTTCCATTTCTTGGCTATTGTAAAGAGTGTGGCAATAAACTAGGGGTGCATCTGTCTTTTTCAAACTGGAGTGCTGCATTCTTAGGGTAAATTCCTAGAAGTGGAATTCCTGGGTCAAATGGGATTTCTATTTTGAGCATTCTGAGAAACCTCCATATTGCTTTCCACAATGGTTGAACTAATTTACATTCCCACCAGCAGTGTAGAAGGGTTCCGCGTTCTCCACCTAGCCAACATTTGTTGTTGTTTGTCTTTTGGATGGTAGCCATCCTTACTGGTGTGAGGCCATATCTCATTGTGGTTTTAATTTGCATTTCTCTGATAACTACCGATGTGGAGCATGTTTTCATGTGTCTGTTGGCCATCTGAATTTCTTCTTTGGAGAACTGTCTGTTCAGCTCCTCTGCCCATTTTTTAATTGGATTATTTGTTTTTGCTTGTTGAGGTCCATGACCTCTTTATATATTTTGTATATCAAGCTTTTATCGGATCTGTCATTTACAAATATATTCTCCCATACTGTAGTGTACCTTTTTGTTCTATTGATGGTGTCCTTTGCTGTACAGAAGCTGTTCAGCTTGATATAGTCCCACTTGATCATTTTTGCTTTTGTTATCCTTCCCTGAGTAGATATGTTCATGAAGAAGTAGCTAATGTTTATGTCCAAGAGATTTTTGACTATGTGTTTTTGTAAGAGTTTTATGGTTTCATGACTTACATTCAGGTCTTTGATCCATTTTGAATTTACTTTTGTGTATGGGGTTAGACACTGATCCAGTTTCATTCTCTTACATGTAGCTGTCCAGTTTTGCCAGCACCATCTGTTGAAGAGACTGTCATTTCCCCATTGTATGTCCATGGNAATGGCCCAAGACAGTCTTTCCACCAGTTATTCTTTTCTTGTGCCAGTACCAAATTGTCTTGATTACTGTGGCCCTGTAGTAGAGCTTGAAGTTGGGGAGTGAGATCCCCCCCACTTTATTCTTCCTTCTCAGGATTGCTTTAGCTATTCGGGGTCTTTGGTGTTTCCATATGAATTTTTGAACTATTTGTTCCAGTTCATTGAAGCATGTTGTTGGTAATTTGATAGGGATTGCATTGAATCTGTAGATTGCTTTGGGGAGAGTGGCCATTTTGACGATATTAATTCTTCCTAGCCAAGAGCATGGGATGAGTTTCCATTTGTTAGTGTCCTGTTTAATTTCTCTTAAGCCTGTCTTGTAGTTTTCAGGGTATAGGTCTTTCACTCCCTTGGTTAGGTTTATTCCTAGGTATTTTATTCTTTTTGATGCAATTGTTAATGGAATTGTGTTCCTGATTTCTCTTTCTACTAGTTCATTGTTAGTGTATAGGAAAGCCACAGATTTCTGTGTGTTAATTTTGTATCCTGCAACTTTGCTGTATTCAGATATCATTTCTAGTAGTTTTGGAGTAGAGTCTTTAGGGATTTTTATGTACAATATCATGTCATCTGCAAATAGTGACAGTTTAACTTCTTGTTTACCAATCTGGATTCCCTGTATTTCTTTGTTTTGTCTGATAGCCATGGCTAGGACCTCCAGTACTACATTGAATAACAGTGTGGAGAGTGGGCATCCCTGTCTTGTTCCTGATCTCAGAGGAAAAGCTTTCAGCTTCTTGCTGTTCAGTATGATGTTGGCTGTGGATTTATCATATATGGCCTTTATTACATTGAGGTACTTGCCCTCTATAACCACTTTGCTGAGAGTTTTTACCATGAATGGATGTTGAATTTTTTTGAAAGCTTTTTCAGAATCTATGGAGATGATTATATGGTTTTTGTCTTTCTTTTTGTTGATGTGGTGGATGATGTTGATGGATTTTCAAATGTTGTACCATACTTGCATCCCTGTGATGAATCTCACTTGGTCGTGTTGTATCATCCTCTGGATGTATTTTTGAATTCGGTTTGCTAATATTTTATTGAGTATTTTTGCATATACGTTCATCAGGGATATTGGTCTGTGATTCTCTTTTTTGGTGGGGTCTTTGCCTAGTTTTGGTATTAGGGTGATGTTGGCTTCATAGAATAAGTTTGCAAGTATTCCCTCTTCTGTTTTTTGGAAAACTTTAAGAAGAATGGGTATTATGTCTTCTCTGTATGACTGATAAAATTCAGAGGTAAATCCATCTGGCCCACGGGTTTTATTCTTGGGTAGTTTTTTGATTACCACTTTAATTTCTTTGCTGGTAATTGCTTTGTTCAGATTTTCTGTTTCTTTCTGGGTCAGTCTTGGAAGGTTGTATTTTTCTAGGAAGTTGTCCATTTCTTCTAGGTTTTCCAGCTTCTTAGCATGTAGGTTTACATAGTAGTCTCTAATAATTCTTTGTATTTCTGTTGAGTCCATTGTGATGTTTCCTTTCTCATTTCTGATTCTGTTGATGTGTGTTGATTCTCTTTTTTTCTTAATAAGTCTGGTTAGAGGCTTATCTATTTTGTTTATTTTCTCAAAGAACCAGTTCTTGATTTCATTGATTTTTCTATTGTTTCATTCTTCTCAATTTTGTTTATTTCTTCTCTGATCTTTATTATGTCCCTCCTTCTGCTGACTTTAGGCCTAACTTGTTCTTCTTTTTCCAATTTTGAAAATTGTGACATTAGACTATTCATTTGGGTTTGTTCTTCCTTCTTTAAATATGCCTGGATTGCTGTACACTCTCCTCTTAAGACTGCTTTCGCTGCATCCCACAGAAGTTGGGGCTTTGTGTTGTTGTTGGCATTCATTTCCATATATTGCTGGATCTCCATTTTAATTTGGTCATTGATCCATTGACTATTTAGAAGAGTATTGTTAAGCCTCCATGTGTTTGTGAGCCTTTTTGCTTTCTTTGTATAATTTGTTTCTAGTTTTATACCTTTGTCACCTGAAAAGTTGGTTGGTGGAATTTCAGTCTTTTTGAATTTACTGAGGCCCTTTTTGCGGCCTCATATGTAGTCTATTCTGGAGAATGTTCCATGTGCACTTGAGAAGAATGTGTATCCTGTTGTTTTTGGGTGTAGAGTTCTATAGATGTCTATTAGGTCCATCTGTTCTATTGTGTTGTTCAGTGCCTCTGTGTCCTTACTTATTTTCTGTCTGGTGGATCTGTCCTCTGGAGTGAATGGTGTGCTGAAGTCTCCTAAAATGAATGCATTGCATTCTATTTCCTCCTTTAGTTCTGTTAGTATTTGTTTCACATATGCTGGTGCTCCTGTGTTGGGTGCATATATATTTATAATGGTTATATCCTCTTGTTGGACTTAGCCCTTTATCATTATGTAATGTCCTTCTTCATCTCTTGTTATTTTCTTTGTTTTGATGTCTATTTTGTCTAATACTAGTACTGCAACACCTGCTTTTTCTCCCTATTGCTTGCAGGAAATATCTTTTTCCATCCCTTGACTTTTAGTCTGTGCATGGCTTTGGGTTTGAGTTGAGTCTGTTGTAAGCCGCATATAGATGGGTCTTGTTTTTATCCATTCATTGATTCTATGTCTTTTGATTGGTGCATTCAGTTTATTTACATTTAGGGTGATTATCGATAGGTATGTACTTATAGCCCTTTCAGGCTTTAGATTCATGATTACCAAAGGTTCCAGGTTACTTTCCTTACTATCTAAGAGTCTAACTTTACTCACTTAGTATGCTGTTACAAACACAATCTAAAGGTTCTTTTCTATTTCTCCTCCTTTATTCTTTATATATTGGGTATCAAATTCTGTACTCCTTGTCTACTCCTTGATTGACTTAGGGGATAGTCAATTTAATTTTGCATTTGCCTTGCAATCAGCTGCTCCACCCTCCCTACTGTGTTTTACTACCTCTGGTGACAGCTCTCCACCCCTAGGAACACTTCCATCTATAGCAGTCCCTCCAAAATAGACAGCAGAGATGGTTTGTGGGAGGTAAACTCTCTCAGCTTTTGCTTATCTGGAAATTGTTTAATCCCTCCTTCAAATTTAAATGATAATCTTGCCAGATAAAGTAATCTTGGTTCCAGGCCCTTCTACTTCATGGCATTAAATATATTATGCCACTCCCTTCTGGCCTGTAAGGTTTCTGCTGAGACATCTGATGTGAGCCTGATGGGCTTTCCTTTGTATGTGATCTTATTTCTGCCTCTGGCTGCTTTTAACAGTCTGTCCTTATCCTTGATCTTTCCCATTTTAATTACTATGTGTCTTGGTGTTGTCTTCCTTGGGTCCCTTGTGTTGGGAGATCTGTGGATCTCCATGGCCTGAGAGACTATCTCCTTCCCCAGATTGGGGAAGTTTTCAGCAACGACCTCCTCAAAGACACTTTCTATCCCTTTCTCTCTCTCTTCTTATTCTCGTATCCCTATAATCAGAATATTGCTCTGCTTCGATTGGTCACATAGTTCTCTCAATATTCTTTCATTTTTAGAGATCCTTTTTTCTCCCTGTGCCGCAGCTTCTTTGTGTTCCTCTTCTCTAGTTTCTATTTCATTTATTGTCTCCTCCACCATATCCAACCTGCTTTTAATACCCTCCATCGTGCTCTTCAACGATTGGATCTCTGACCCAAATTCATTCCTGAGTTCTTGGATGTCTTTCCATACCTCCATTAGAATGTTGATGGTTTTTATTTTGAACTCCCTTTCAGGAGGAGTCACGAGGTCCATATCATTTAAATCTTTCTCGGGAGTTGCATTAACAATTTTTCTCTGGACAAGGTTCCTTTGGTGTTTCATGTTTACATATGGTGCCCTCTAGTGTCCAGAAGCTCTATTCTGGAGCTGCTCAGCCCCTGAAGCAATGTCTGGGGTTGCAGGGGAGTGGTACTGGTGCCTGGGGGGAGGAAAAAGCTGTTCCCCACCTCCCAGCTCCTGTGCCTGTCTCCACTGCCTGAGTCAGTGGGCCGGCCACACAGGTATGTTTTTGTCCCAGAGCAGCCAGATATGGATCCCTGCTTTCCACAAGCAGCTGGAATCCCAGTCTCCCCAGGAACTCTCCCTGTATTAACTCTCCAACCCGGCAGTCATGCGAGTCTCATGAAAGCACCATGAAGGTTAGGTTTGTGCTACCAGAGCAGATCTCTGGAGTTAGGTATTCAGCCATCCCAAGCCTTCCACTCCCTCTCTGCTCCATTTTTCTTCCTCCTGCTGGTGAGGTGGGGTGGGGGAGGGGCTCGGGTCCCATGGAGCCACAGCTCTGGTATGTTACTCCGTTCACTGAGGTCTGCTCTTTTCTCCAGGTGTGTGCAATCTGATGCTGTCCTCTTTCCTGTTGCTCTCTCAGGATTAGTTGCACCAATTAAATTTTCTAATTGTATCGTTTTAGGAGGAAGCCTCTGTCTCTCCTCTCATGCTGCCATCTTTAATCCTTCCTCTCATATATAATTTATTACCTTTATTTATATACAGAAGCTTTTATTATATTTACCACATTGTATGAGTTATCTGCTTACATAAAAGTTCCCTTCAATAGCTGCATTTATTCATATTTGTTAACAATACTGAGCATCTGGTGAAGTACAGGTGGAAATTAATATTGTTTGAAGGCTTATGAGAGAGGATTATAAGAGAGAGGCTTTTGAAGGCTTATAGAGAAAGGTAGGCTGCTATACTTAATGTAGGTGGTATCTCAACATACTCCCTTCATCCTAGGCTGTTTAGACGATACTTTCCCAGTGAACGTTTATTGTGAACAACAGACATTTGTTCATATTGTCAGATGCAAAGCTTTGTTCTAAATAGGATTTTGTGTCCAAATTAGAGTGACTAGCCTAGTATGACCAAATAACTGGAAGACTAGAAATCAGAATAAGAACAAAGAAAATTGAAGGCAAATACAATCATCCAAGTGTAAGTGCCTCCAAAAGACCAAGTATCATATGATTCCATTTATATGATATGTACAGAATAAATATAACCAAAGACATATATCCATGACAGACAGTTAATAGTGGTTGCCTGGGACTGAGAAAGGGTAAAGAGGAAGGTAGAAAGGGGGACTGGGAAAGGAAGGGACTGCTAATGGGTATGATTTTCTTTATTGGGGGGTGTTGAAAAAGTTCTAAAATTAGGTAGTGGTGATGGTTGTACAACTCTTTGAATATAATTTTTTAAAACTGAATGGTAACAAAAAAGAGCTATTGCCTCAAAAGGTTTCACCTGACCAGATAGGTTCCTGATCCCACCCAATGAGAGCTTTTATAGGTGGTATTCAGATAGTCTAGTTATAAAAAGCATACATTCTGGAGCATGACTGCCTGGATTCAAATCCTGGCTCCTCCACTTACTTGCCTAGTGACCTTATGCAAATTAACTCTGTTCTTCACTTTTTCACCTATAAGTGAGGATCATAATATTACCCCCTCTGTAAGCTTGTGAAGATTTGATGAATACATAAAAAACTTAGGCAAATGTTAAAAACAATTATCAGAAACAATTGCCTGCCAATAAATGAGATAATTTAGATGAAATGGACAAATTCTGAGGAAGAAACAATCTACTAAAACTGACTCAAAAAGAAAATAGGAAACCTGAATAGACCTATAACAAGTAAAGACACCAAATTAATCATGACAAGCTACCACAATGAAAAGTCCAGGACTAGATGCAGGTGGCTACACTGGTGAATTCTACCATACATTTAAAGAGAATTAATACCAGTTCTTCATGAACTCTCCCAAGAAATAGAAGACATTTTTTTCTTACCCTTTGGAACCCATGCTTAGCCCTGCTATAGCTATCTAGCCTATTTATTCTATACTTTCCTGAAAAGTAATTCTTAGTGAAATGAGGAGAGGACATAGAAAAGTCTCACTCCACTGTCAACTCCTTCCAATAAGTTTTCCTAGAGATAAACCCTTTTTCCTATCCCAGATGAGAATATTCATATCTACTTGCAGAACCTGGAAATGGTTCCCTGTAACAGCTGGAAAACACATGTTTTTGAGCTAGGGAGATAGTAGTTTCTCTCAAGTAACAAGGTACAAACCTTTCCCAAAGCTTCTAGTGGGACAAGCATACTGGTAAGCTATCAGCCAGCTGCTGAGAACCCCCTGAAAAGTTAAGTTGCCTAATACTCTCAAGCACAGACTAGCTCAAACAGGGACTGAATTACTAAAAGAGAGAAAAGATGAGAACAAAATCATTTGGCAAATTCCTCAATGGCAACTGCTCTTTCAATGTGCACACACCATGGAGGAGAGGACTGTAACATTTCAGAAATCACAGCTGGATCTACTTCAACACCCAGGGTTAATATACTAATTACCACTGTGGCTCACTAAACATGTTCTCAATGGGGAAGAAGGGGGTCAAAAGAATGTCACACATTCTCCTCTTCTATCTAAAACAATGCAAACTGAGTCCCCTTACCTTTTTATATTCATCTCATTGTTTTTGGCAAACCCAAGGGCAGGTGTGTTCCTGCTTATCTTCTTTGAAATATCCTTAACAAACTCCTTATTGGCTTCCTTCTTGGGCTGGACAGTTTGGCTTTGAGAAGCCTGCAAAAAGTAAAATTAAAAAAGCAGAGATAAGGAAGCAAGGAAATGGAAAAACCATAAATTATCCAATATGTGACTCTTATAGGAAAGTTCTGACCCACATTTCCACCCTGGAAACCTTGTTTGGGTGTTCCCAGTAACAATAATCAAAACATCTCACAATCAGTCTCACAATTGATGCCAAATAATCACAATGGAAACTAGCAGTAATTTAGCACTGGTACATACTAGCTAAAAGCAGCCAGGTGATTCCAAGGTACATGGAACATAGTTCTCATCTCCATATCGGGTGCACTGGAGATATGGTGATATATCTATCCCATCTTGTTGAGGAAATATTTATTTAACATGGAGCTTCACCACAAACTCTAATCACGACTAGTTCTATTAAACAGGAGTGATTGTGGGACTGTGAATAATGTCAATAAAAAGTTTAAAAATCAGGTCTTTAAAATAAAACAAATTGAACCTAATTATATTCCACATAAATACTGCAAACACACTAAAGAAAAGAAGAAAACAAAATACAAGACAAGAAACAACTAATCCAAGTAAACACCGTATTAGACTATATAACCTCAACATGTATATCCTCAGTCAGCATGCATTTGTAGGGTAGCGGAGAATATTACAAATAAATTTGAACTCTTTGTAGTAGGTTTGTTTATTATGGTGGTATAGACAAAGTAATCTTGAAATGCTTTCAAATGTATTATAGTAACCAGGGTTTTCATTGTAAAAAGAACATACAAATATGGATTGGAGAATGTATGAAAAAAAAAACCCATGTATTGGAATAGGAGCTGTACAAACTCATGATTTCTCAAATAGGTCTATGTAGACATATATCTGAGTATATGGGCATATATATTTGTGTGTGTAGGTATATATGCATATGTATGTGAGCACATATATGTGAATATGTGTGTGTATGTATGTATGTATATATATACCTGTAGATATTTCCTAGTTTTATCTGCTGAAAGGGCAGAAAATGCAGACACCCCAATGGCATGCCTAGCACTGAGATCTTGGTATTTAATACCATTCCCCACTAAAACGGAACCAGAATTCTTCAAAGAAATGGTTGACTCCACGACCAAGATAAAATAGGTACAAGATAAACCTGGAACATCTTATTATGCTGGAAAGAAAATGCTCAAAAAATGGATAAATTATTATCATAAGGACACAATAATCAGATTGAAGGGAACCTACTGGCCAAATCTGGGACACTTTGATCACCAAAATAACTAAGTACAACAATGAACAATAAACCACTGAAAAAAATAGGAATTCCTAAGTCCATAAACAAATGGGAAAGAAGGGAAGACTCATGACTGTAGCAGAATGCCAAAGGCAAACTGGTAAATGAAGAATGAGTGCTGGAGTTGGAAAAATCATCATAAAGACTGGGTTAGTCAAAAATAATCAAAGGATGCTAAACCTAGGGGACATTTTGATGAAGAGTAGGTTATTTTTAGGCTCTTAAGAGTATGTCCCACAGACTGCTTATTAGTTGTAAGAGGGAAAAAGGTAAACAGTAATTACACAGTGGGAAAGCAGACAACATCTTGACTAGGTGATCAAAATTAACATCACTGAGGGCAGATGGACATCATGTGCCTACAGATGTGATACCCTAAGAAGGACAGAATAACACCTACACATTATTCCAGCCAAGAATGTATAACATCAATCTAATCACATGGAAAGATCAAACACAAAATTAGAAATGTTCTATTTTTAAAAAGAGAAGTTGGGTGGGACTTTATTCTTCAAAAAGTTAATGTTATAAGAAACAAAGAAGGGATCATGGGAAGATGGCAGCATGAGTAGTTCAGAGGAAATCCTCTCCCCAAAACATACATATTTATGAAAATACAATAAATACAACAATTCCTAAAAGAGACACCAGTGGATGCGTGCAACAGCTAGGATACATCTACATCTGTGAGAACTCAACAGCACACAAAGCGGGTAAGATACAAGCCGTGGCCAGGCGGGACCCAAATGCTCCCCCACCCCAGAACCTGGTGGGAAGAAAGGAGTCGGAATGGGGAGGGAGTGAAAGCCCAGGACTGCTAAACAACTAGCTCTAGAAATTTGCACTCGGAGCGCAGACACAATGTGCACGGGGTGCTGGATATTAGAGAAATGGAAAAGCAAAATCTGTGGGCAGGTCCCCGCAACCGGCACCGGAGACAAAAGAAAAGCGAGTGCTTTCTGCAAGTCTTAGAGACAGGGACCTCATAGCTGGACGAAGTCGCCCTGGCACACGTAGCCAGCAGCTGGGAAGCCCAGGGAACCTTAGGAACCCTAAACCCCGGAGAGGCAGTGCAGCTCTGAGGCCCCTCACAGCACTAAGCAGCCTGCCAGTCGTTCCTCCAACTGGCACAGACCCCAACACACTGGCCCAGTAGCAGGAGAGTGGCAATGTGTGCTGGGGATGGCGGCGCCAGAAGGGACCAGGAGAAGATCATGTGTGCCAACGGCACCAGAGGGGATCAGGAAAGGCTGGATGAGCCTGCAGTGGCGGTGACCAAACAGAACAGGTACGGCTTGCATGCACCGGCAGCAGTGGAGCCAGAGGAGCCCAGTAGAGGCACACGTGGGAGAGCCCTGTGCACACCTGCAGTGGAGCCAGAGGGAGCAGGCATGCTCCCAGCAGACGACCGGAATCTCAGTGCAACGCACAGCCGCCCGGGCCAGACCCATAGGCTGCTGCTGGCACACAGCTGCCTGGAAGGGGTGCCGCTAGCATGGAGGAGCGCACCTGGCACGCCTGCCACTCCCCGCAGGGCTCCGCAGTGCTCTGACGGAGACACACCCCACAGCAGCTTAGGGGACTAACCTGGTGGCTGCTCCAGGAGTGCGGGTAAACGACACAGGCAGCAGAGAAGGGAAGGCATTCAGAAAGCAGGAAAGGACTTTCGTCTCCCAGCTGACACAACCACAACCTGCCTACAGCCACCACTATCACTATGAAAATGCAAAAAAATTTAGTCCAGTCCAAGATAGTTCAGACAACACCTGAGAAAGGATATGCAGAGGCAGACCTAAGCAGTCTCCCTGAAAAAGAATTCAATATAAAAATCACAAACATGCTGAAAGAGCTGCAGAGAAATATGCAAGAGCTAAGGGATGACATCCATAGGGAGATTACAGACGTCCAGAGGGAGATTACAGAAGTGAAACAAACTCTGGAAGGGTTTATAAGCAGAATGGATGAGATGCAAGAGGCCATTGATGGAATAGAAACCAGAGAATAGGAACGCACAGAAGCTGACGCAGAGAGAGATAAAAGGATCTCCAGGAATGAAACAATATTAAGAGAACTATGTGACCAATCCAAAAGGAACAATATCCGCATTAGAGGGGTACCAGAGGAAGAGAGAGAGGAAAAGGGATATAAAGTGTCTTTGAAGAAATAATTGCTGAGAACTTCCCCAAACTGAGGGAGGAAATAGTTGCTCAGACTACAGAGGCACACAGAACTCCCGAGAGATGGGATCCAAAGAGGACAACACCAAGACACATAATAATTAAAATGGCAAAGATCAAGGAAAAGGACAGAGTATTAAAGGCATCCAGAGAGAGAAAAAAGGTCACCTACAAAGGAAAACCCATCAGGCTATCATCAGACTTCCAAACAGAAACCTTACAGGCCAGAAGAGAATGCATGATATATTTAATGCAATGAAACAGAAGGGCCTTGAACCAAGAATACTGTATCCAGCACGATTATCATTTAAATATGAAGGAGGGATTAAACAAGTCCCACACAAGCAAAAGTTGAGGGAATTTGCCTCCCACAAACCACCTCTACAGGGTATCTTAAAGGGAATGCTCAAGATGGGAGCACTCCTAAAAAGAGCACAGAAAAAAACACACAACATATGAAGAATGAAGGAGAAGGAAAAAGAATGAAAAGAAATAATCATCAGACTGTGTTTATAACAGCTCAATAAGCAAGTGAGGTCAGGCTGTAAGGTAGCAAGCTAAACTTGAACCTTTGGTAACCACAAATCTAAAGGCTGCGATGGCAATAAGTACATACCTTTCAATAATCACCCTAAATGTAAATGGACTGAATGCATCAATCAAAAAACACGGGGTAATAGAATGGATAAAAAAGCAAGACCCATCTATATGCTGCTTACAAGAGACTCACCTCAAACCCAAAGACATGCACAGACTAAAAGTCAAGGGATGGAAAAAGATATTTCATGAAAACCACCGGGAGAAAAAAGCAGGTGTTGCAATACTAATATCAGACAAAATAGACTTTAAAACAAAGAAAGTAACAAGAGATAAAGAAGGACATTACATAATGATAAAGGGCTCAGTCCAACAAGAGGATATAACCATTATAAACATATATGCACCCAATACAGGAACACCAACATATGTGAAACAAATACTAACAGAATTAAAGGAGGAAATAGAATGCAATGCATTCATTCTGGGAGACTTCAACACACCATTCACACCAAAGGACAGATCCACCAGACAGAAAATAAGTAAGGATGCAGAGGCACTGAACAACACACTAGAACAGATGGACCTAACAGACATCTGTAGAACTCTACATCTAAAAGCAACAGGATAGACATTCTTCTCAAGTGCACACAGTACATTCTCCAGAATAGATCACATACTAGGCCACAAAAAGAGCCTCAGTAAATTCCAAAAGATTGAAATCCTACCAACCAACTTTTCAGACCACAAAGACATAAAACTAGAAATAAACTGTACAAAGAAAGCAAAAAGGCTCACAAACACATGGAGGCTTAAAAACATGCTCCTAAAAAATCAATGGATCAATGATCAAATCAAAATGGAGATCCAGCAATATATGGAAACAAAAGACAACAACACAAAGTGCCAACTACTGTGGGATACAGCAAAAGCAGTCTTAAGAGGAAAGTATATAGCAATCCAGGCATATTAAAACAAGGAAGAACAATCCCAAATGAATGGTCTAATGTCACAATTAT